TAGCGACTGCAGTGCTACTCCACTACGCTATGCTTGCTGGCTAAGAGTTTACCTAGATGCGGTAAATTCAGAGAAAAAGCAAAAGCCAAGAATTGCCAGGCAGTGATAACTAGAAATTCAGTAATCAGAAGCTGCGGTAATTACCTAAAGCTTTCCCGCGGAGAAAAATATATGCCCTAAAAACGAAGAAAATACTTGAATACTTGAGCAACTGTATGTCATCGACGTTTGTTGTCACGCCATCGATTTCTTTTTTTTTTTTTTTTTCTTGCATATATGATCTTTTAAGAAAATATACGACCTTAATAGTAAAGGATAATTGGTAGTAACAGTCAACTCAGGTGGCCCGATAATTTCGTTTCCTACATGTGATGAGCAAAATCAAAGCCAGCGCCAGTGCAAAGATTTAGATTTCATCATCGGATTGCGGTAAAAAGCAGCTTAACTAAATCCGATATGCTTATCCCTGTCGCCTCTCCTATTTCACAGACACAAAACAATCTTTTCAAAGAATAATCATATTTTCTTGTTTACCGCAATACCCCACGAAAAATAGCCGCTGAGGGCAAAGCAATAGCTATCTTCGGCCGAGGAATGGACAGATAGTCTAATTATGGCCACAGTGGGACTCTACGCTAATGAAATCACTCGGATGCCCTTAAACTCCGTGTACACATAGGCGGATCCAGGACGGACTGCACGAGGAGGAGGCCGGGGGGTGGGGAGAAGAGCCCCTTCCTACCTTAAAACTATGCAAAAACTAAAAACGGGGTTAAAACAATGCTATTTCGAGTTATTTTAGGCCTTAGTTTATTCTAGTTTAAGCTTTAGACTCGGGCTTTTGCAGCACTGGTGCCTCCCCGCTGAAGGAGGGGGCGAAATATCCATTGCCTCCCCTCATCCCTTCCCCTCCTCGGGGCACCAATGCAGCCCCCTTGAACTCGCCCTGTATCACCTCCCTATGAAGAATTTGACGTCGAAAGGTATATTAACAGGATAAAAAGGCCTATTTTTTTCCGGTATCACAAAACAGCAAATTGCACAGTGTACAATTTTATTTTACACTCTTCACAGCAAGACGAGGGACAGAATTACAGTCTGTGTAGTCTTGAAAAGAAGGCAATTTAAAAAAATGCCTTGAGAGAGAAAAAAGGAGAAAAACTCAGCGAAAAAAAGTCGTATCATATCTTAAACCGGTTTGGTAAAAAAAAAAAAGGAAACGAAGAAAATCTTTGGTATGATAAGAAAAAGCAGGTGGTGTTTTTTTTTTTGCCCCTTTAAAGGGTAAATATGCAAAATGGGCTCAGAAAATGCGGTGCAAAAAAATGCTGCGCTTATTCGGTCAGTACTTTAGCGATTTTTTTTTTTTTTTTTTTT